CGTCCATTCCTTGTGTATGACGATAACATGAGCGAACGTCTACTTTGTATGTTTGTATGTTCCCATTCACATGTAAAAACTGCTGCTTATCTTTTTTTCCGTTTTTTTTTTTTTAAAAAAAAAAAAAAATCCTGCTTTGCTTTCCCTTTCTATCTAAAATCAAGGAGGGGGCTGGGCAGTGCTACTTACTATTATTAACCCTGTGTGTGCTAAGCTGGCAGATCTCATTATCAGCTGTAAACTAGATGTACAGGAATGTCAGTCCTAACAAAGGGTTAAAGATCTCAAGGACTCAAGTACTAAACGCATTTCAGTCCAGTCTGTCCGGAGGTGTCCCTAGACAAGCACTTTGTACATTGTGAACAACCCCGGCTGCCAACAGAGTCCTATGTTTAAACCTTTGCCAAGGAAACAACTAAAAAGGTGAAAAGGTGCGATATTATTATTGTTATTATTATTATTGATATTATTATTATTGTTATTATTATTATTGTTATTATTATTATTATTGTTATTATTATTATTGTTATTATTATTATTGATATTATTATTATTATTGTTGTTATTATTATTATTATTTGTTATTATTATTATTGTTGTTATTATTATTATTGTTATTATTATTATTGTTATTATTATTGTTGTTATTATTATTGTTATTATTATTATTATTGTTATTATTATAATTATTGTTATTATTGATATTATTATTATTATTGTTATTATTATTATTGTTATTATTATTATTATTATTGTTTTTATTATTATTGTTGTTATTATTATTATTATTGATATTATTATTATTGATATTATTATTATTATTATTGTTATTATTATTATTATTATTGTTTTTATTATTATTGTTATTAGTATTGTTGTTATTATTATTATTATTATTATAATTATTGTTATTATTGATATTATTATTATTTGTATTATTTTATTATTATTATTGTTATTAGTGTTGTTATTATTATTATTATTGTTATTATTGTTATTATTATTATTATTATTGTTGTTATTATTATTTATTGTTATAATTATTGTTATTATTGATATTATTATTTTTATTATTGTTATTATTATTTTTTTATTATTGTTATTATTATTATTGTTATTATTGTTGTTATTATTATTATTATTTATAATTATTATTATTGATATTATTTTTTTATTATTGTTGTTGTTATTATTGTTGTGGTTATTATTATTATTGTTATTATAATTATTGTTGTTATTATTATTGTTGTTATTATTATTATTATTGTTATTATTATTGTTGTTGTTGTTATTGTTGTGGTTATTATTATTATTGTTATTATAATTATTGTTGTTATTATTATTGTTGTTATTGTTGTGTATGCTGTGTGAGAAGACATAACAGGCACTCAGTGAGGGGTGCTCAGTCTGGTGGAAATACAAGATACGACATAAGAGAGAGGTAACGTGTTTTAGGGGCACCCGGTATTGTGGGCTGTAGGGGGCGCCGTCGCTCTTGTTCCGGATGAGCGGGATAACGGGATGATTAAACGTCTCGGTGCAAATAAATAATTTACTCAACAAGCAGCAAACAAAGAAGTCAGAGAGATTTCACAATACATTTCACAAGACCGAGCAGCTGACGGGGAGGGAAATCCTCTAATTACAGCGGACTCGGACTCCCAGCAAAATTACATCTGGCCTGACTCCATGTGGATCCAACAGACCAGATCACAGCAGACCCCGTCCCCAGTACAATCAGATCTGGCCTGACTCCACGTGGATCCAACAGACCAGATCACAGCAGACCCCGTCCCCAGTACAATCAGATCTGGCCTGACTCCATGTGGATCCAACAGACCAGATCACAGTTGACTCTGTCACCAGTACAATCAGATCTGACCTGATCTGACCTGACTCCATGTGGATCCGACAGACCAGATAACAGCGGATTCAGCCCCCCCCAGTACAATCAGATCTGACCTGACTCCATGTGGATCCGACAGACCAGATAACAGCGGATTCAGCCCCCCCCAGTACAATCAGATCTGACCTGACTCCATGTGGATCCGACAGACCAGATAACAGCGGATTCAGCCCCCCCCCAGTACAATCAGATCTGACCTGACTCTATGTGGATCCGACAGACCAGATAACAGTGGATTCAGCCCCCCCAGTACAATCAGATCTGGTCTGACTCCATGTGGATCCAACAGGCCAGATCTCCAACCCAACTGGGGATCAATTCTGGGAAATTCTCAGACTGTAATGGTGCAGGAGGGCAAAGGGTCACAGCAATCTACAATTCCCTCCCTATCAGCTCTCCTTCAGATGGATTCCATCTTCACATTGCAAAGTACATGATGTGATTCCTCTATCGTCACCCTGTGTACACGGACAGAGCACTGAAATCCCAAGCAGTGGTGTCAGCCCTGCTCAGTATTTGCCTGATGGACTACAAAGCCCCTCCCTCTTATGTTAAGGAGAAGAGGTGATTTGAAGGGGGTTCTGCAGCCCACCAAAACAGAACTGGACAGGGCTGACAACGCTGCTCGACTGCAAGAGCAGAAAATGTCAGTTGATCCTGCCAGAAATCCAGGGAGCTCCTGACATCCTGTAGTGAGCTGACAACGCTGCCTCTGCTGCACTGCAGTCCCAAGAAGTGTTGTCAGCCCCGCCCAGCGGCGTGCACTGCCAGAGATTTCACATTCATCTCCATCAGAGACAACGGGATGAAGAAGAGTTCCATGTTGTCCACGAATAGGACGAGCTGTAAAGTGAATGATAAAAGGAATCATGGGAATGGGGGGAATGGGAGGTGAGACTGTGCCCACCATACATCATACAATGTCTGAAGTCGCAGAGGACGCTGCACCCCGCGTATGAGAGAGGAGGAGAGGAAACGCAGCGAATGGAAGATGTCAGGATTTCCTCCGGCTGGAGGATGTTTACATTGCTGAATAAATGTGTTTGTATTTATAGCGTCCGTCTAGACCAGAGCCGCCTGCCCCCAGGAATTCATGTCTATGGAGTGCGAATATCTGACATCACCCATCGCATGGGGCGCGGCGCAATTCACCCATCGTATGGGGCGCAGTGCAATTCACCCATCGTATGGGGCGCGGCGCAATTCACCCATCGTATGGGGCGCGGCGCAATTCACCCATCGTATGGGGCGCAGTGCAATTCACCCATCGTATGGGGCGCGGCGCAATTCACCCATCGTATGGGGCGCGGTGCAATTCACCCATCGTATGGGGCGCGGCGCAATTCACCCATCGTATGGGGCGCGGCGCAATTCACCCATCGTATGGGGCGTGGTGCAATTCACCCATCGTATGGGGCGTGGTGCAATTCACCCATCGTATGGGGCGCGGTGCAATTCACCCATCGTATGGGGCGCAGCGCAATTCACCCATCGTATGGGGCGCGGTGCAATTCACCCATCGTATGGGGCGCGGCGCAATTCACCCATCGTATGGGGCGCGGCGCAATTCACCCGCCTACAATATCACCCATCGCATGAGGGCGCGGCGCAATTCACCTGTCTACAATATCACCCATCGCATGGGGCGCGGCGCAATTCACCCGCCTACAATATCACCCATCGTATGAGGGCGCAGCACAATTCACCCGTCTACAATATCACCCATCGTATGAGGGCGCGGCGCAATTCACCCGCCTACAATATCACCCATCGTATGAGGGCGCAGCACAATTCACCCGTCTACAATATCACCCATCGTATGAGGGCGCAGCACAATTCACCCGCCTACAATATCACCCATCGTATGAGGGCGCAGCACAATTCACCCGCCTACAATATCACCCATCGTATGAGGGCGCAGCACAATTCACCCGTCTACAATATCACCCATCGTATGGGGGCGCGGCGCAATTCACCCGTCTACAATATCACTCATCGTATGGGTCAGATCATTGAGGTGTATAGTCTTGGGGAGCTTACTATGGTGGATGATGCCGTTCTCCAGCAGAGCCTGGCCCAGGTTGACCCCTTCCTCCGGCTTGCTGATCTCTCCGTTCTCCATCAGCCAGGATACCAATTCACTGCAGGGACACAGAACGTGACATGATAAACGCAGGAAATTATTTTTATTATTATTATACAGGATTTATGGCGCCAACAGTTTGCTCAGCGCTGTACAATATAAAGGGAGACAATACAGCAACAATACAGATCAATACAAGAGAGATAGGAGGGCCCTGATCCTTGGAGCTTACAATCTAAGAGGGAGGGGCTGGTGGTACAAAAGGTAATAACTGTGGGGGATGGACTGGTAGGAGGAATAGAAGATTCCAGTATTAGCTGAAGGCGGGATAGGCTTCCCTGAAGAGATCGGTTTTCAGAGATCGCCTAAAAGTGGGCAGATTAGGTGATAGTCTGATAAATTGGGGTAGAGAGTTCCAGAGGATGGGGAGGCTCTGAAGAAGTCCTGGAGATGAGCATGGGAGGAGACAAGAGAGCTAGAGAGCAGAAGGTCGTGCGAGGAGCAGAAAGTACGGTTTGGGTGATATTTGGAGACAAGATTGGTGATGTAATTTCAGGCGGAGTTATAAATGGCTTTATATGTTATTGTTAATGTTTTGAATTTTATCCTTTGGGCAACGGGAAGCCAGTAGAGGGATTGGCAGAGAGGGGTGGAGGACACTGAATGGAAGTCAGTGGAGGGATTGGCAGAGAGGGGTGGAGGACACTGAATGGAGGTCAGTGGAGGGATTGGCAGAGAGGGGTGGAGGACACTGAATGGAGGCCAGTGGAGGGATTGGCAGTGGAGGGATAGGCAGATAGGGGTGGAGGACACTGAATGGAGGCCAGTGGAGGGATAGGCAGAGAGGGGTGGAGGACACTGAATGGAGGCCAGTGGAGGGATTGGCAGAGGGTGGAGGACACTGAATGGAAGTCAGTGGAGGTTATTGGCAGAGAGGGGTGGAGGACACTGAATGGAGGCCAGTGGAGGGATAGGCAGAGAGGGGTGGAGGACACTGAATGGAGGCCAGTGGAGGGATTGGCAGAGAGGGGTAGAGGACACTGAATGGAGGCCAGTGGAGGGATTGGACACTGAATGAAGGCCAGTGGAGGGATTGGCAGAGAGGGGTGGAGGACACTGAATGGAGGCCAGTGGAGGGATTGGCAGAGAGGGGTGGAGGACACTGAATGGAGGCCAGTGGAGGGATTGGCAGAGAGGGGTGGAGGACACATGAATGGAGGCCAGTGGAGGGATAGGCAGAGAGGGGTGGAGGACACTGAATGGAGGCCAGTGGAGGGATTGGCAGAGAGGGATGGCAGATATGGAATGGTTAGTAAGGTGGATGAGTCTGGCAGCAGCATTCATGATAGACTGAAGAGGGGATAGCCTGCGAGGGAGGTGTTGCGGAGGTTGGAGATGGCGTATCTTGGAGGTGTTGCGGAGGTTGGAGGTGTTGCGGAGGTTGGATGATGCTGCTGCTGCGGAGGGGAGAGCCTGCGAGGTTGCGGAGGTTGGAGATGTTGGGGAGGTTGGAGATGTTGGGGAGGAGGTTGCGGTGGTTGGAGATGTTGCGGAGGTTGGAGATGCTGCGGAGGTTGGAGATGTTGCGGAGGTTGGAGATGTTGCGTATCTTGGAGATGTTGCGGAGGTTGGAGATGTTGGGAGGTTGGAGATGTTGCTCGGGAGGTTGGAGATGTTGCTGGTTGGAGATGTTGCTGAGGTTGGAGATGTTGCGGAGGTGAAGTCTACAAGATTTAGAAATGTATTGTATTCCCTCATCAGCCTTGTTCTCCATTAGGTACAATGTTGGGTTGTAACAGAGTGCCCCGGGGCCCATGAGATCACGGGGCCCATATTACATAGGTATGACCTACACAGGAGCTGTGGTTGTATCTTCCTATTGATGATTACACATACGGGATCTATGAAGGTCGGCCCTCCATTGGGACAGGATAGGAAATGATGACAATTACTGCGCAGCCCTTCACTGGAGATAAAAGGAAGTTCATTCACTAAAACCAATCCAGGGACTGTTCTGCTTGTCAGGAAAGTGTCAGTAATAGGACTGAGAACATTTGTGTCTGTAGAGTTTGGATCAAACCCCCGGCTGTGGCCCCCATATTCCAGTTGCCTGTGCACCATATGTGGCTCTGGAGGACTTTTTGATCCCTTGGTGAGATGAACAGGCTTCGCTGAGCGGTCTCATTATTTCCCAGAGTTCCGTCAATGGAAACTTGCTGCAGTTTATTTCATGTGGAATACAGTACTTGTGAGGAACACGTACTGTATGTACCCTATGTATAATCCCCAGGGCCCCTCATGTCCTACATCAGGGGTCACTCATATCCTACATCAGGGGCCCCTCATGTCCTACACATCAGGGGCCCCTCATGTCCTACACATCAGGGGCCCATCATTTCCTATTAATCAGGTGCTCATCACAAACCACACATCAGGTGCCCACCATATCCTATAAATCAGGTGCCCATCCTATACTATACATCAGGGGCCCACCATATCCTATAAATCAGGTGCCCATCGTATACTACACATCATGGGCCCACCATATCCTATAAATCAGGTGCCCATCCTATACTATACATCAGGGGCCCACCATATCCTATAAATCAGGTGCCCATCGTATACTATACATAAAGGGCCCACCATATCCTATAAATCAGGTGCCCATCGTATACTATACATCAGGGGCCCACCATATCCTATAAATCAGGTGCCCATCGTATACTACACATCAGGGGCCCACCATATCCTATAAATCAGGTGCCCATCCTATACTACACATCAGGGGCCCACCATATCCTATAAATCAGGTGCCCATCCTATACTATACATCAGGGGCCCACCATATCCTATAAAATCAGGTGCCCATCCTATACTACACATCCGGGGCCCACCATATCCTATAAATCAGGTGCCCATCCTATACTACACATCCGGGGCCCACCATATCCTATAAATCAGGTGCCCATCCTATACTACACATCAGGGGCCCACCATATCCTATAAATCAGGTGCCCACCCTATACTACACATCAGGGGCCCACCATATCCTATAAATCAGGTGCCCATCCTATACTACACATCAGGGGCCCCTCATCATACCCTATACATCACTTCTGTTCACACACCCACTGGGCACAGATTGAAGTGAGACTCCAGCGTGTATTAGGATACATGGCAGGTTATTTACATAATGAACGGTTTTTATGGTCTTTGTAATTGTGTAAGACGGGTGCAGAGCGCGGGGCCATCGGAATCCTACATTACCCAGTGCAGCAAGGACAAGGACCGTCTGTAGGGTGTGAGTACATTAAAGCACATTTCCCGTACGTACCTTACTCTAGAGAAAAGATGGTGGAGTGATAGGGTGGAAGTTCTCTCCTATAGACTAAAGATGGTGGAGTGATAGGGTGGAAGTTCTCTCCTATAGACTAAAGATGGTGGAGTGATAGGGTGGAAGTTCTCTCTTCTATAGACTAAAGATGGTGGAGTGATAGGGTGGAAGTTCTCTTTCTAGACTAAAGATGGAGGAGTGATAGGGTGGAAGTTCTCTCTTCTAGACTAAAGATGGGTGGAGTGATAGGGTGAGATGGTGGAGAGATAGGGTAAAAGTTCCACTTCTAGACTAAAGATGGAGGAGTGATAGGGTGAGATGGTGGAGTGATAGGGTGGAAGTTCTCTTGTATAGACTAAAGATGGTGGAGTGATAGATAGGGAGGAAGTTCTCTCCTATAACTAAAGATGGTGGAGTGATAGGGTGAGATGGTGGAAGTGATAAAGGGTGGAAGTTCTCTCCTATAGACTAAAGATGGTGGAGTGATAGGGTGGAAGTTCTCTCCTATAGACTAAAGATGGTGGAGTGATAGGGTGGAAGTTCTCTTTTCTAGACTAAAGATGGAGGAGTGATAGGGTGAGATAGTGGAGTGATAGGGTGGAAGTTCTCTCTTCTAGACTAAAGATGGAGGAGTGATAGGGTGAGATGGTGGAGTGATAGGGTGGAAAGTTCTCTCTTTAGACTAAAGATAGACTAAAGATGGTGGAGTGATAGGGTGGAAGTTCTCTCTGGAGTATAGACTAAAGATGGTGGAGTGATAGGGTGAGATGGTGGAGTGATAGGGGAGATAGGGTGGTGTGGAGTGATAGGGTGGAAGTTCTCTCTTCTAGACTCTGGAGGAGTGATAGGGTGAGATGGTGGAGTGATAGAGATGGTCTCTCTTATAGACTAAAGATGGTGGAGTGATAGGGGAGTGATAGGGTGAGATGGTGGAAGTGATAGGGTGGAAGTTCTCTCTTCTAGACTAAAGATGGAGGAGTGGAGGGTGAGATGGTGGATAGGGTGGAAGTTCTCTTGTATATAGACTAAAGTGATAGGGTGGAAGATCTCTTGGATAAAGATGGTGGAGAGTGATAGGGTGGAAGTTCTCTTGTATAAACTAAAGATGGTGGAGTGATAGGGTGAGATGGTGGAGTGATAGATTGGAAGTTCTCTTGTATAGACTAAAGATGGTGGATTGATAGGGTGAGATGGTGGAGTGATAGGGTGAACTTTCTCTCCTATGGATTAAAGATGGCGGAGTGATAGGGTGGAAGTTCTCTCTTCTAGACTAAAGATGGCGGAGTGATAGGGTGAGATGGTGGAGTGATAGGGTGGAAGTTCTCTCATACAGATTAAAGATGGTGGAGTGGTAAGATGGAAGTCCTCTCACCTAGAGTTGGTGTCAGTGCAGCTGATTTGGGAAGGGGGGGAGGGGAGTAAGACTGGCCAGGTCTATACTATGAAGGAATGTGTCCATATTTAGGAGGGTTACCTTTGGATGGATACATCAGTTGGTATTATTGGCTCAAGCATTGATGAATAAGTTGGGTGCCGGGATTGTCCCTGGAGTCAAACATTCTAGGGCTTCGTGGAGGACTGTTCTCTGTCCTCACATACTAGACGTTTGCCGTTGGTATGTTCTAATATATGCTGGAATTGTTGCGGCAGATCTTGTTTTGTGGGGGTGGTGTCACTGATATAGAGCGAAGTCTGTATCCTTCATGAAGGACTCCTCCAAGTCTGGTGTCTCCTTGTGTCTTCTTCTGGAGCCGTATCTGGTCGAATGACACAACGATTCTCCGGTGTCACAGATCCCATTCGGCGCTGTCACAGATCCCATTCGGCGCTGTCACACGCTCTGTCACAACACGTCAGACATAATGTGGCGTGGAGGACGGCTCCGGCAAGGAGCGCGCTCTAATACTCCGCATCAAACGTCTTCCCATTTATAATTAGCTGAGACCAGATATTTCTGCCCCCGCTCCGTGTGAGGAAAATCCATTTCATGGGAAGCCACTTCCTGCCATTATTAAAATGAAAGATCCCTTTTATCTCCGCGTGCCGCCAGGGCTGAATGAGAAACAGCGACCAGGAAATGTGTTTACAGCATGACGGCAAATCTCCAGCCGTACAATACCGGCCTTCGCAGCGCCCGACAAACCGCAGGGTTCAATATAGAACCTATCCTACAAACGTCAAACAGGGAGCTGGGGGTCAGGAGGTAAGGGGTCAGGGTGGAAGGGGTCAGGATGGAAGGGGTCAGGAGGCAAGGGGTCAGGAGGCAAGGGGTCAGGAGGCAAGGGGGGAAGGGGTCAGGAGGAAGGGGTCAGGAGGAAGGGGTCAGGAGGCAAGGGGTCAGGAGGTAAGGGGTCAGGAGGTAAGGGGTCAAGAGGTAAGGGCCAGGAGGTAAGGGGTCAAGAGGTAAGGGGCCAGGAGGTAAGGGGTCAGGAGGCAAGGGGTCAGGAGGTAAGGGGCCAGGAGGTAAGGGGTCAGGAGGTAAGGGGTCAGGAGGTAAGGGGTCAGGAGGTAAGGGGTAAGGGGTCAGGCAAGGGGTCAGGATGGGAAGGGGTCAGGAGGTAAGGGGTCAGGAGGCAAGGGGTCAGTCAGGAGGCAAGGGTCAGGAGGAAGGTGTTAGGGGGGAAGGGGTCAGGAGGTAAGGGGTCAGGAGGTAAGGGGTCAGGAGGTAAGGAGTCAGGAGGGGGTCAGGGGGGAAGGGGTCAGGAGGTAAGGAGTCAGGAGGTCAGGTAAGGGGGAGGTAAGGGGTCAGGAGGTAAGGGGTCAGGAGGGAAGGGGTCAGGAGGGAAGGGGTCAGGATCAGGTGTCAGGATGGAAGGGGTCAGGAGGGAAGGGGTCAGGAGGGAAGGGGTCAGGGGGGAAGGGGTCAGGAGGTAAGGGGTCAGGAGGTAAGGGATCAGGAGGGAAGGGGTCAGGGGGGAAGGGGTCAGGGGTAAAGGGTCAGGAGGGAAGGGGTCAGGATGGAAGGGGTCAGGAGGAAGGTCAGGTCAGGGGGAAGGAGTCAGGGGGGAAGGGGTCAGGGGGGGAAGGGGTCAGTCAGGGGTAAGGGGTCAGGAGGTAAGGGGTCAGGATGGAAGGTGTCAGGAGGAAGGAGTCAGGGGGGAAGGGGTCAGGGGGGAAGGGGTCAGGAGGGAAGGTGTCAGGAGGTAAGGGGTCAGGAGGGAAGGTGTCAGTATCATTACCAATGATAGGAAAAGTGTGTCCTGTGAGCGGAGTTCCTATCTGCTGGACACTCCCAGGAGGAAGCTTCCCCATCCATGATTGGTGCTGTATATCCCAGAACCAGCAAATGTATAGAATCCCAAAAGGGATGGTGGGAACCCCTCATAATGGGCACAGCGGGTGTACAGGTCAGGGCGTGGTGGGGTAGGGTGGGGTGTGGTGGGATGGGGCGGGATGGGGCATGGTGGGGTGGGGCAGGGTGTGGCGGGGTAGGGTGGGGGTGGGGTGTGGCGGGCAGGGCGGGGTGTGGCGGGGCAGGACGTGGCAGGGTAGGATGGGGTGTGACGGGGTGGGGCAGGGCGTGGCAGGGTAGGATGGGGTGTGTGACGGGGCGGGGCAGGGTGTGGCACGGTAGGATGGGGTGTGGCGGGGCAGGTAGTGGCACGGTAGGATGGGGTGTGGCGGGGTGGGGCAGGGCGTGGCAGGGTAGGCAGACATGGCTCTTCTATTGGTGGACTCGGGGAGGAGTTGGAGTCTCTGCGCTGCGGTTGATAAGTGAGACATTTTCTCTCTCTGTGATTGGTCCCCGGAGATCTGCAGCCGGGTGTTCAGAGCCATGAGGGGCGCCCTGTCAGCGGGGAGCTCATTAAGTATGCGGCCTGTGATTGGCCGGGAACCACGCGGAGCTCCTCCGGTCAGCGGTATGAATGGATCTCTTCTACTTACTTTCCATGGAAGCATTTGGAGATGGTGCTGAATTTCCTCCTGCGGTCCTTGATGAGATTGGATTTCTTGCTGACCTTGTGATAGAGCTTCTCCCCCTTCTCTGCGATCATCACGTAGGCGTCCCGCTCCATCCCCAGCTTCAGACCTGACAGAACAACAACATGTCAGGGAGCCAATCATCATCATTCATTCAACAGGACCGCCTCCTTTCCTGGCAGGAGGACGTCCAGCATCATCTAGCCCTCTCCTCCCCAGCCTGACTATCCCTGGCCCCACCCCTTTCCTCCCCAGCCTGACTATCCCTGACCCTATCCCCAGCCTGACTCCCGTCCCCACCCCTTTCCTAGCAGCCCCCCCATTATCTGGCAGGAGGACTCCAGCATGACTCTTTCCCCTCCCCAGCCTGACTCTTTCACCCCATTCATAGCAGCCCCCCTCATTATCTGGCAGGAGGACTCCAGCATCATAGCTCTTTCCTCCCCAGCCTGACTCTCCCTGGCCCCGGCCCTTTCATTCATAGCAGCCCCCCTCATTTCCGGGCAGGACGCCCAGCATCATCTAGCCCTCTCCTCCCCAGCCTGACTGTCCCTGGCCCCGCCCCTTTCATTCATTGGATTTCAGTTCTTTTAATCATGGAAGCTCAGCATCACAAGGGGGCGTTACCTATGCAAATACGGCCTGTCTAAAAACACCCCCCGCTCACGGACTGACACCCACCCATCAAGGTGTTTTGATATTTGCATAACTCCTCCCACTGCTTGCATCAGGACAGAGGGCTCCTGACATGAGTACTGAGGCGGGGTGCTGGGATGCTTTCAGGAAGCTATGTACAGCCCCCTGCCAGCCCCTCCCACCAGCCATGATCTGCCTGCATTGCCTAGAGAAGCGCAGAGACCCGCCATTTTCTTGAAAGCATGCATTTGAGCAGAAAAGGCCGCCTCTGACATGAATGGACAGGAGTATCTCATACTGCAATTTCCTGAAATAAATCTACAGCTTATATTGTAATAATCCCTGCCATGGAGGTCCCAGTTCAGGCACTTCCTGTTACAGGGTGACAACGTTCTGTCCCCATCTCCAAATTGTGCTCCTGCGTTGTCACCCTGTGGGAAGGGCCTCCTGTGGAGAGCACAAGGGATTGTCACAACACATTACACAGGCATGGCCCACTGTTGTCAGCAGCCTGAAGTGAGTTTTGTGTACGATGACAGCCATACCCCCAATCCTTTGTACTACAGCTCTGTATGTAGAATAATCCCTGGTGCCATGCCACGGTGGTCCCAGTTCAGGCACTTCCTGTTACAGGGTGACAACGCTCTGACCCTGTCTCCCAATTGTGCTCCAGCGTTGTCACCCCGATTGGCCATTTCAACACACATTACTCAGGCACGGTCTGGAAAGCCCGCCCCTGTGAACAGTCATGCATCCATGGCTGGAGTGCATGCGGACAGGGCTGCAAAGAGGCTGCAGGAGATCAGCAGCACGGAGCCAGAACAAAGGACGGAAAAATGGTGACCATAAATATTTTTTAGAAATGAAAAAAAAACCTGTATCAAAAACCTCTGGAAATGTGAACACATTATCCTTAGTTAATACTACTTCCCTGTATGATGATATGAGTCTTCCTGCGGGATGACGTCACCCGGTCTCATATTATCACCCCATTCCTATACGATGATATGACTCTTCCTGCGGGATGACGTCACCCCGGTCTCATATTATCACCCCATTCCTATACAGTGATATGAGTCTTCCTTAGGGATGACCACACCCGGTCTCATATCACCCCATTCCTATACGATATGAGTCTTCCTGCGGGATGACGTCACCCGGTCTCATATTATCACCCCATTCCTATACGATGATATGACTCTTTTCCTGCGGGATGACGTCACCCGGTCTCATATTATCACCCCATTCTATACAATGATATGATTATGACCACACCCGGTCTCATATCACCCCATTCCTATACGATATGAGTCTTCCTGCGGGATGACGTCCCCGGTCTCATATTATCACCCCATTCCTATACGATGAATGAGTCTTCCTGCTGTCTCATATTATCACCCCATTATCACCTTCCCACACAACCCTGACCCCCCCTCCCCCATGAAGCAGCACTGACCCCCCCCCCCCCCCCCCATGAAGCGGCACTGACCCCCCTCCCCCCCATGAAGCAGCACCTCCCCCAGAGACACACATCTCTGCGTTTTCACCCCAGTGCGATTTTAGGGAAGGGTCGGGGACTTTTTTGGAACGCGTTTTTTGGTTCCATAGACTTCAATGGAAACGCTGCAGAAAAACATGCAGTGCGTTTTTTTCCATGTTTTAAATCTGCCTAGCAACAATAAAAAAAAAACAAAAAAAAAAAAACACAAAAACGCATCAAAAATGTGGCCAAAATGCACTGCATGCTGTTCTGCAGCGTTTCCATTGAAGTCTATAAAAGCAAAAAAAACGCAACACAGAAATGGGTCAAACGCAAACGGCATAGGTGTGAACCCAGGCATGGGGAGGATTCTAAATATCATGTGAAGGGCTGATTATCCCCCGCTCAGGTGGTGGGGATCGCCACATCTCCCAGTGCAATCAGCACAGAGTAAGGTCTGACTCCCCGGGAACGTCGCGAGTGACACCACGGCGGGGCCATATTCAAATGCCGGGTTCAGGTGTTAATATGCAGCCATTGTGCTCCCAGCCTCCATCTGTCTATGTGTTGGGAAGGGTCCATATTGCTCGGTGACAACTCGTCTCTGGGGATTTCTCTATAGTGACAAGCCAAGATAATGCCGGCGTTGGAGTCACCGGCCAGGACATGTGCTCGCCGACGTTGGAGTCACCGGCCAGGACGTGTGCTCGCCGACGTTGGAGTCACCGGCCAGGACGTGTGCTCGCCGACGTTGGAGTCACCGGCCAGGACGTGTGCTCGCCCACGTTGGAGTCACCGGCCAGGACGTGTGCTCGCCGACGTTGGAGTCACCGGCCAGGACGTGTGCTCGCCGACGTTGGAGTCACCGGCCAGGACGTGTGCTCGCCGACGTTGGAGTCACCGGCCAGGACGTGTGCTCGCCCACGTTGGAGTCACCGGCCAGGACGTGTGCTCGCCGACGTTGGAGTCACCGGCCAGGACGTGTGCTCGCCGACGTTGGAGTCACCGGCCAGGACACGTGTGCTCGCCGACGTTGGAGTCACCGGCCAGGACACGTGCTCGCCGACGTTGGAGTCACCGGCCAGGACGTGTGCTCGCCGACGTTGGAGTCACCGGCCAGGACGTGTGCTCGCCGACGTTGGAGTCACCGGCCAGGACGTGTGCTCGCCGACGTTGGAGTCACCGGCCAGGACGTGTGCTCGCCGACGTTGGAGTCACCGGCCAGGACGTGTGCTCGCCGACGTTGGAGTCACCGGCCAGGACGTGTGCTCGCCGACGTTGGAGTCACCGGCCAGGACGTGTGCTCGCCGACGTTGGAGTCACCGGCCAGGACGTGTGCTCGCCCGACGTTGGAGTCACCGGCCAGGACGTGTGCTCGCCCGACGTTGGAGTCACCGGCCAGGACGTGTGCTCGCCGACGTTGGAGTCACCGGCCAGGACACGTGCTCGGCCAGGTTGGACACGACACGTGCTCGCCGACGTTGGAGTCACCGGCCAGGACACGTGCTCGCCGGCGTTGGAGTCACCGGCCAGGACATGTGCTCGCCCGACGTTGGAGTCACCGGCCAGGACATGTGCTCGCCACGTTGGAGTCACCGGCCAGGACATGTGCTCGCTGACGTTGGAGTCACCGGCCAGGACACGTGCTCGCCGACGTTGGAGTCACCGGCCAGGACACGTGCTCGCCGACGTTGGAGTCACCGGCCAGGACGTGTGCTCGCCGACGTTGGAGTCACCGGCCAGGACGTGTGCTCGCCCACGTTGGAGTCACCGGCCAGGACGTGTGCTCGCCGACGTTGGAGTCACCGGCCAGGACGTGTGCTCGCCGACGTTGGAGTCACCGGCCAGGACGTGTGCTCGCCGACGTTGGAGTCACCGGCCAGGACGTGTGCTCGCCACGTTGGAGTCACCGGCCAGGACGTGTGCTCGCCACGTTGGAGTCACCGGCCAGGACGTGTGCTCGCCGACGTTGGAGTCACCGGCCAGGACGTGTGCTCGCCGACGTTGGAGTCACCGGCCAGGACGTGTGCTCGCCGACGTTGGAGTCACCGGCCAGGACGTGTGCTCGCCGACGTTGGAGTCACCGGCCAGGACACGTGCTCGCCGACGTTGGAGTCACCGGCCAGGACATGTGCTCGCCGACGTTGGAGTCACCGGCCAGGACGTGTGCTCGCCGACGTTGGAGTCACCGGCCAGGACGTGTGCTCGCCGACGTTGGAGTCACCGGCCAGGACGTGTGCTCGCCGACGTTGGAGTCACCGGCCAGGACGTGTGCTCGCCGACGTTGGAGTCACCGGCCAGGACATGTGCTCGCCGACGTTGGAGTCACCGGCCAGGACGTGTGCTCGCTGACGTTGGAGTCACCGGCCAGGACATGTGCTCGCCCACGTTGGAGTCACCGGCCAGGACATGTGCTCGCCGACGTTGGAGTCACCGGCCAGGACATGTGCTCGCCGACGTTGGAGTCACCGGCCAGGACATGTGCTCGCCGACGTTGGAGTCACCGGCCAGGACATGTGCTCCGTGTTCATTGCTCCAAGTTCATTCATCCCATCGCATTTTTACCAGATTTATATCAATAGGCAGCCATGGAGGGGGTTGGGTACCACCTGGCCTCATTCGAACTCCGCTTTATGCTCTAACACACCTCAGACCCATTATATCCAGACACTGTGGTCACCTGCTGACTTGGCACCAATCCACAGGCAGCTTAACTCTTCATGAAGAACACAGAAATCGAATCCAAACCGGTTTTACTTCAGACTATTGCAGTACTTAGGATGTTTTTCTCATCTTTTGGGAAACATTCCTTAGCCCAGTCTGTGTGAATAACTAACAATGAGTGAAGGAACACAGAGGGAAGTGGGAGGAGTAAGTGGGGCACAACACAGATGCAGTTTCTGTCCCTCTATGGCAGTAAAATGTACGTTGTATTGCACTCTGTGTTCTTTTTTCACAGCTTTGGTTACATATGCAGAAGTCGTACAATAATA